CACTTTATTTTCATAAACATCATAATTAAAATCTATTTGTTATGTAGGCTAGCAGCATTTTTATTTTGACATATGCTCCTTGATTACATTTAAGCAATTAGCCCAGCAGTTGTAAGTTCATTTTAATTAATGTTGTTTTTCACACAGTCAAACTGGACTATTATCAGGTTGATTCTGATCATGAATTGTCCTTATTTTCATTAAACGATCTTTGATGAGCACTGTGATACTACTCCAAAATAAAGGAACAAGGGGGAAGCTAAGCATCAAATGTGATTTAAAATGTAAAGTTCGTGTAACATACATATTCATTTCTTCCACTTCCACACTAGAAATCAAACTAGTAATGGGGAAATATTAAAAGAAGTATTTTGGTGCCAAAGTAGGACACTAGAAATATAACCCAATAGTAAATTAGGTGGGTTGGATATTGTTAGTTGTGTTACTTTGCACCACAGCTTGGAAAAGAAGTATATTAAAAGAGTGGTAGATATCAAACTCAGCAGCAGCAGCCTTAAAAATTGATAAATACAATCCAATTATGATTCCTTTTAAAGATGAGATGAAAACCTATCTTAGAGAAAAATATAATTTGATTTATAAACATGCTTATTCAGTTCTTCTAAAATAACATGCCAAAATACACTAAATTTTAGGACCATTTATTTAAGCATGGCACTGTATCAGAAGCTCAGTATGCGCTCCAAAGGGAAGCAAAAGCAGTTGATATAAAACACATTCATTAAACAACAAGAGTATACAACACTACAGTACAATGCTGTTTAAGCCAACTAAATGCACCCCAAAACCAACATAAGAAGGTCAGCCATTCACATAAGAAAATAATGAACCTTTAAATTTCAGCTTTGCTTGATATTCATGAAGAATTGCAATATAGAATTCTCTGAATGTAAAAAAAGACACCCTGCTCAGTTCTGAAAGAAATAAATACCGTCAGTATAGTTAAAATTTATTCTAATATCTGCATGCTATTCATGCCTGAATAAAAAGACTCCAAACACAATGGAAATCAGACAGAAGATACACCTTCATAAAAAAATGCAAAACAAATAAACAAATGCAAAAAAATTTTTTTTTTAATTTCAATTTATTTTATTTTGAATTTTATCTGTTGACCTGCTACATTTTAATATGTTTAGAAGCTTAGAATTCAAATTTGAGGACACAAATAGATCAGATGAAAATGCAGCATTTTGGTTATTTTTTAAAATTCTGTCCTGATCTTATACCTAGATGGGGGTCATACGCTAAATAAATAAAGCTAGATGGGTGTTAAAATTATGGAATAATGTCAAATTCTAACAGGGCAGTAGAATTTTAGATCAGTTTGACAATTTCAGTGATTTAATGATTGGTGCTCAGATCTAATTTTTCTGTTTTAATGAGGGTTTCTGTTTCAAAAATCCACCCTTAGTTTAACCAAAACATTTATAGGATAGCAATGAAGGTGTGGTTGACTGCATGCATTGTTTCATTATAATGTATTGTTTCATATGAAGATCACCGATATTGTTTTAAATTCTGAAATTAAATGATAAAAGATTATTCCCAATATGCATCTCAGAAAATGTACTCAGGGAGCAGCATCCAATCTATTGTTTTTCAAAAGACATTTGGAAAACAACTATACTGTAAGGACAAGAGTCCAACAACCTTCTACTATGCTGTAGGATTATAAGCCCTCAAGAGTCAAAATGGAACTGGAATAGTAAACTGCAGGAAAACATAATAATAATAAAATATACTACCAAAAAGTTATTTAGGATTCTGAAGAATATTTTTAAAAGTTGTAAAACTTTTTAAAAAGTATTTTAGAGTTTATAATCCTAGATTGCCAGGCTTGTAAGCCTAATAATCAGAAAGCATAGGAAGGAGTAAAATCAATGCATTTAATACCTACCTTATATATAATTAACATTAATGATTGATTCAGAAAACAAAGAAACGTCACCTCTGCAGCAATATAAAAAGGGAAGCATCTCAATCCAATATAGCTGCAATGGTGTAGATAAATGCAAAAATGACCCAATGTCTCCAGATACATTTGCCCATTATCATGAAGATCAAACAAATTATCCCATCACTCAAGTCTCTTGGCATTCACTTCTATTAAAAAAAAATTGACAATGTAAGACATGTCTTTTCCAACTACTACCCTCTTGAGATGATGGGTCCCTAATTGCCAGCCATCACTAACTCTACCTATGTGAAATGAACCTATATTATTCAAAAGCAACAAATATATTAATTCATCATTAAATGTCTCTACTTTGTTGGGGCAAACTTTGAAGCTGTAAGAAGCCAAGAACAAGTTATAGAGACTCCTGCATTAGGAGAGGGGTTTGATTGCTTCAATTTCATCTTGAAATAAATAATGAAAGCATGTATAAGATTACATTTATTAAAGATGTAGAAAAAAGGCAAGTTTATTGTATTCTTACTCTCATTAAAGCTTTGGAACTAAGTAGTTAAAAATCCTACATAATTCCTTGGAAGAGAGCCCCATTGAAAATGTTTTGGTTTTTTAAATAAATACCTTTGGGACTGACATTCAGGTTATGAAATAAGTAACTTCAAAGAGATATCAGAATAACCTGAGATACTGAAGATGAATTACTCCACAAATTTATTCTCCTTTGTAAAAAATAGCTGTAACTGTCCATCAGTAATGCAGACTAAATTGTTTTATCTCTTGGAACATGGTTAAGAATTGCATCTAACTTTTATGTATTATTATAATTCACTTCAAGCTATAGTATCATTTTCTTGCCTCCCTGTTTTTAAATTCCATGTAAATTTTATTACCATAGGATCCCTTTCAAGGGCACAATTTACTTTTCAAATTATATTAGAAAGATGATTTAGTTGGGGTTTATATTGCAAAATATAACACTAACCATGGAAGAGTATTATGCCTGTAAAAGTTTTGAAAATGATGTTGAAAAAGATATATATTAGTTCTACCGATCTTTGAAAAGTAAATTCCCTGGATTGATTAATTAAAAGAAATTCAGTCTCCTAATTCAACCTGGAAGAAACTGCCCAACTATTTAGATGCTTATTTTATAGATTTGGGTAGTTGCACTCAATACTGTATATTACACTCACAGATTTAAGCTAGCAACATCAAAATGAACACTAATACAGTGGAATATATAATTAACATTTTAAAGCATAAATGCTAGTTCCATATAGGAAGAAGCAAGCAAGATATATTAATTGCTTACAAGAGATATTGTCAACTATTATCACTATGTATATTGTCACTATATTTTACTAAGCAATAATAATATCTTTTACGTGCCAACCTCAAAGCTGAAGCTAAGCAAGAGTGCAAACTGCAATTCCTTGAGATCTGGAAAGTATACTAGGATTATTCCTTACAGCAAATTGTCTACCTCATTATAATAATATAAGAACATGTTATTTATGTATAACATGTTATTCATATATATAAGAACATGTTATTCATAACCATGTTTATACTTATACCTGTTATTTAATACTTGCTTGACAAATAAATAAATAATAAATAAATAAATAAAATGTACCAGCAGGACATTGTTTGTTGGGAGAAAAACAACTTTTCAAAAAGAAACTTGAAAACTAAAAAAAACAAAATACAAATTTGCAACTTCACACAGACAATATCCAGAAGCATTGGAAATGTTGCATTAAACAGTAAGTGTAACAAATAAGTGTAACAAATTACCTGGCAAATCTGCAGTATTTGATGCAGATTTTTAGATGCTAATTCTGGAATATTTTCAGTTTAACCTTAAATAATCAAGATAATATTGTTATCTGTAGAAGACTAGAACTGTTGAGTCACATGATGAGCAGCTAATAGTATGCTTGAATAGCACAATTGGAACGCTAATATCATTAAGTGCCATACTTAATGGGCTAATATCACTAAGTGCCATATTTTCAATACTGAACCACAACTGCTATTGTTCACATAACTGTGGCGTCAGTTGATGGAAGCTAAATCATATAGATCGTGGTTTCGGACTACTTTAGCAAAAACTCCCCCCACCCACTCCACATGCATCAGATGTATATGATTTGGCCCATAGCTGTGTTTAAAAATAAGAGTTCATTTATCTTGTTCTTCTTAATTAAGATTTTGTCATAGAAGCCAAAAGACAATATCTAAGGCTTATTCATTGAAATTATATATAGAGAGAGCACCAGTGGCCACAAATAATTTTGCCCAAGACATATGGCCAACTCCTACTGAGGTATATATTTAACATGAGCTTGTAACTTTCCATGGATTTACCTACTCCATGGATTTTACCTATATCATGGAAACATTAAATCCCTCCCTTCAACATTATATTTAATAGATACCCAATCACCGACTTTCATTTCCACTCTACTTTGAGAGGAAAAGTCATATCATTTTGGATAAATACACGATTAGATATCAATGTAGATTGATCATATCATGCAGGACACCATTTCTGAAAGGAAGTGGAGTTCAGCTAAGCAGATGGATCAAAATTATGTCTTCAAATATCTAAAAAAACCCTCACAAGCAATGGCAACTTTATGTAAGTAAACAAATCCACACAATGGCAGTCCAATACTTAGTTCAAGCATGTATGACATGTCCGCTTGCAGCATCATATCACAATTTGCCCGTGTGAAATGGTTTTCCTAAATTATTTCTCAGAAATTAATTTGATATCACAGATTATTCAATAGAAAGAATATGCGCACATGGTTGAAAATCACAAAGTGCTGACCAATTAAAGGAATCATAAATTGTGATCCAGGTAACGGTGAGCTATAGTTATATTTTAACAGGGATATTCTATGGACAATATCTATTTAACAAAATGCTAAGTTCCAGGTTCCATTTTTTTCCTTAAAGGTTTTCTAGGCATGCCAATTCAGTTTCTATCTTTACCTCCAGCTAAGGCCCATAATGTACAACCAACAACCTGCTATGCAATAAGACTTATTAGATATTAGATTATGCCACTTTTCTCTTCCTGAAAAGAAGTTCGTGATGAAGATCGTCCCAACAAAAATTCCTTCTCATGAATCAGGTTATCCAAGAGATCTTCCTGCCGATAATTATGATAAACCTTCAAAAAGGCTAATATTGTAATTCCTAGCCAAGTCAGCCAGGCAGCCCAGAGGCCAAACTGGAAACAAAAAAAGAGAAAGAGATGATGAGAATACTTTAAATATATAAATATATACCTTTCCAGAAACTATATCATCTAAAACTGTTAATTCCTACAATCCCTAAATTATTGGAATTGCAATCTCAAAATACCTGAAGACCACCATATTGGAAAAGTGAATCTAATACAATATGTAAATCAGTACATTTTTGGCTACAATTTATCAACACTAATGACTGAGTTGATGCAATATGTTAGGCTTAATTCAAACAAACAACGTTAATGTGATAGTTGACTCTAGACTTTTTAAAAAAAAAAATCTATAACATCTTAAAAAGTCCATTACAGTAAATGTATTTTCCTAACCCCAAAGAACTCAAAAATGTATGAGAATGAGAATTTTTCAGCAAATGTTCAAATAGATATTTATACAGATATTTATTATATTGAAAGTAAAGCTTTTAAGTATCAAAACAATACCCATGCATTTTATTCATGCTTGCAGTTCAACTTCAAGCATAGAAAATTGATATCTACATTTTAAATGATACAGTCAACTGATGAAGAGCAATAGTGAGGTCCATAGTTACACAGTTACTGAGTATTTCCCGGACAAGCCTATAGATTTCTCTATATTATGCTTGAGTACAGTTGATGCAACATCTGAAAATTATTCTATGTAGCCATCAAGTTCTATTCCAACTTTCTGGATGACCCACTTTCTATAATGGGTGTCAAACCCACGGCATCACTGCATCATCATGTGATGTAACGTGGCTTTTTTTTCCCCTTTGCTAAACCAAATGTGGGTGTGGCCAGCATGTGATGAATCCAGCCTGTGGGCCACAAATTTGGCAGCCCTGTTCTATAATATCACAGAGAATAGTGGCACATCTCTTACATTACTAAAAGGAATCCAGTCCAGATTGACAACACATATTCAGCCTTTTTCTTAGCCTAGTCCTTCTTTATGCTCTATCACAATCTTGCCTTTCCTAGAAATCTTAAGAATGTCATCTAAGAACCAATACACATAACAGTATTACTAGTAAGAGACTAGAGATGCAAATGAATAGAAACTCATCTTCATTTTCTTGAAGATTTATTTTTGCCATATTTATGTCTGGGTGTGGTGCAGTTTCCAAATAAAAAACTATGCTGTCATCTTAGGATGAGCTAAAATATGCATTTCCATAATTTCATGACTACAACATTCACAGAATCACAGAGCTGGAAAATTAATTAGAGATTATCAATTCCAATTCTCTGTTTAACACAGAGTCTGCAACTACAGCTGTTGGATATCTATGCAGCTTCTTCTTCAATATATATAATGAAGTAGAAGCCATCATCTTCCAAGTTCCACTGTTAAATTGCTCATTGTTAGGAAGCTTCTCTCAGTATTTAGCCATAATTAGCTTCCTTAGAATTTCTATGCACTGGTTCCAATTGTCTTCTCCAAAGTAATAAAGATATAATGTGTTCCATCTTCCAAAGTTGACAGATGGTAATAACAGCAGTCCCTTAATTTTCTCTACTGCATAATGTCCAGCCATCTCTCCCAGAATTTGGCTTCTACCTTTTTTCCATCTTGATTCATCTTTGGATCTGCTCAAGCTCAACTAGTTTACATGAATGAACCATATCAGATCTATTATTACAGACAGAAATGTTGTTTCAGATGAAATACAATGCAAATCATCAAGTGCAGTGTGAAACAATGATGAGTGTAACATTTGTGAACTGATTCTAAATAGCATTAAGTGAGGATGGTGCTATTTTAGTAGGAAGAAGACATTTTGTGACATTTGAAGTCTCTCCAAAGTTATGTGTCAGTTCTGTGAACAAAGAGGCTTAACTTACCTGTGTGATGGCAAACTGGTCATAGAATGATGAGTTTTCTAAATTCAGCTCAAGATCTATATCTTGTAATTCTTCACAGCTAAAGGAAGAAGGCATTTTGGATGAAAGAGAAGGAAAGGAAAAGTAATTCGGTAGTTATAAATTATCTTTCAATCGAATCCATCCTCTATATCACTAACTCGCTAAATCACTCTTACGTACACTGCTTCTCTCTCAAGCACACCTAGACATTCACTAAGTACTTGACAACTGATGATATGTCTTATTATCACACAATCTTGTGGCTGTCTTTGAAACTTTTGTATTACAATCTCTCTCAAATGTTTCAATGAACCAGTCAGAACTCATTGTAGTTTTATTGCAGACAAGAAATAATAGAGCAAAGGGTCAACATGTCAATGTTTTCTCCAACATTATGTCAATTGTTCCCATTCTGGCCAATTTCCTAAAGATTATATAAAGAGACAAGCTAATGAAGGTTTCAGCTGAATTGGTGTCACCTCAAACTACTTTCTTACTTTGCCAGGACCTCTCCTTGGATGTCCTTTAAAAAGGGGTCAAACAGCCAGTTAAGCCATTACAAAAGACTCATATTATGGACTTTTTTTGAAGACTCAATGGCACAGCAGCCCATCACTGCATATAAATCATGGAAGGAAAATGTTGTGCAGCAGCACTTCCTGTTTTGTTAATTCCGTTTCTGTGCAAAATTTCTAGTATGATCACCTAGAAAGATTATGCCAGAGTCAAACTGTTTCATGGAACAATGACAGACTAGATAAAACTTTGCTGTAAACTTGCAAGATTCCTTTTAAGGTTCTTCTTCAGATGAATGTTCCTTTATAGGAGAAACTCAGCAAAGAACAAGTATATAATATTGTACAATTACAATAAACAAACTGAGTAAATAAGTTCAAATAAAAAGTTTACAGAAACTTGTAGAAATGGGCAAAATTAACAAGACCACTAGATCAACGGCCACTAGTAATGCACAAATTGGGAATCTACCTAATTATAATTAGCTATTGTTAAATCAATAAAAGAACTCAGAAATCATATATTGCATTTTCAGTGCACAGGATCTATGATAGCCTTGCAATTGAAGCTTTTACTTAAGAGATTATGTACAAACTGTAATGAGAGATCAAGCCTCAGTGGCAAAATAATTTGCACAGAAAAATCTCAGGGTGAAAAACAGTCATTAATCTGGGACTTTGGAAATTGCCGCCAATCACTATAGACAACAATGAGCCAAATGGTCTGATGCTATGTCAGAAATAAATTTCAGTAGTCCTATCAGCTGCAGCTACTGTTTTCTCTCTACCGTTTTGGCATTGCAGGGATGCTGCTTCATGATAGCCCATCACAGGATATTTTATCATTGGTCTGTGCATGGGTATCTATTGGAGGGAAGTGCCAAAGGACAGGGTTGGGGTCATGATCCATGTTGTAGATTTTGACCTCTACCCTCCAATATTCTCCATAGCTGATTTTTATAAGGGACTAGGATTTCTAAGTACTGTACAATTTAAAAGCCACACAAGCCTTGTTTCCAAGAATATAAGTATATCATGTTTATATGTGTTATATCAACAAAAGAGGTCTCCAGATTCTAAATTTAAAATCAATATACGTCCTTTGTATTATATCTCTCTAATTATCCAATCCATATGAAAATGCTACGATGAAAGGAAGCTTGATCAGAAGATAATATTTGCATGTTGATCAGAAGATAATATTTGTATATTTTATTTCCAATGTTCCTGGCAAAATTCAATCAAAAATAAAGTCTGCATATAGATTGTTTTCTGTTTTCATTTTTAATAAGTATCTTGGAGCTTAATAAGTATCTTGGCAAATCACAGGGTTTGAGATTCTTGAAGTTATTTTCTCTCTTTCTTACCTTTCTAAAACTGTCAATCACCTTGGAGGCTTATCTAAATATTTAATTAGCTGGTTAGATTTTTAAAAAAACCCTGAGAGAATATTTTAGCCAAATATTCAGATAATCATGGCAGTCTTAAATAAAACATTCACTGATGGCATATACAATATACGGCAAGGCAAAATGTAAAATCAGTGCTTTAATCATTATAAGACATAAATTCTCACTACATACATATGTACTTATTATTCACAAGATTTCTATTAAATCACACACATTTAATCACTTTATACTCTTTTCCAAATCCCATAGTGATTGAGTATATTTAGTTAATATGAATATATTTAATGTGCAGTATGGAACTTTACACACATCTGATTTCAGTAGAAATTCCCTGAGGCCAATTCAGTTGAGTAAAGAACTGAATACAAGTCCCAGTGAATACTTTTGTTCACCATAAGGCCATATTAATCTTCCAAGTTCTTATATTCATTTTAAGATGTCAGAAGAAACTAGTGGATCTCAACTGCATATAATTTGCAGTGTTCTAAATATGGCAAGAAAAACTTTATCATTCTGGAGTACAATCACTTCACATTCCAAGATTTTCCAGAAAGATATGCAGAGGTCTTTTTATTCATACAGTTATCAAAATCACTTATTTATTTGATTTCTATAACTTCCCATCTCAAGCAAATTACTTTTATGCATATTAGGCTCTTGCCAGGCAGCCTTTCAATGTAGTACTTCAATAGGGATGATGCTATTCTCCATGATGTGTCACAAACATAAGACTCATTATATTAAACCATTCTCTGTCACTTTGGTAGCGCACTGGAAGTGAACTATGTGAACTCTGAAGGGAACACATGGGTATTCTCCTTTAGCTGTTGGGGTGGGGAGTCCTGAAGCAATGCAAATCAGTGGTTTTGCTCCTCAGAACCAATGCAAAGCTATGTCACTTGGCAAAGCACCTTCAAATCATACTGTGCACTAAGTATCATAAAAACAAAGCAGCCCTTCAAAATTTTGCATAATCCTAATGTATCTCCATTTTTATTTTTATTTTTGGAATTTGGCTATATTGATGCATACTGTACTCCAAGTTCTGAAAATTATATTTAATTCATATTTCAGCCATTTATTTATATACTATTATTTATACCATTTTTTTTCTAAAAGCAAACAAAAAAGCACACAATAATAAAATATATGTAGTAAATTCTACATTTTAGCTGGCTATAGGTACTCTAGTATTTAGCTACGTGCACTAGCTCTCCTCAGCTTTGGTTCCACCATACTTCATGAATCATAGAACACAATTTATTTTTAAGTATAGCCATCAACTGAAAAAGAATTGTCCAACCCTTTTCTTTGTAATAGAAACCGCAGACCTTAAGAACACGATGACAGAGGCGAAATCTATTATTCTCCAAAGCACCTGAGGCAGGACAAGAACCAATGGGTGGAAACTATTCAAGGAGAGAAGCAACTTAGAACTAAGGAGAAATTTCCTGACAGTTAGAACAATTAATCAGTGGTACAACTTGCCTCCAAAAGTTGTAAATGCTCCAACACCGGAGGTTTTTAAGAAGAGATTGGATAACCATTTGTCTGAAGTGGTGTAGAGTTTCCTGCCTAGGCAGGGGGTTAGACTATAAGACCTCCAAGGTCCCTTCCAAATCTGTTATTCTATTCTATCTCTTATGTAACCAGTCTTGCTTTAATAAAGCTCCAAATTATACAGTTCCTTACTTGTTTTCCTTGTTTTGTTATCTGCATATATGTGCTATTTCCCATTTCTCCACCCCAATGTATCATGTTCAATACTCACCTATTTGGCATGCTTCCTTTTTCAGTAATAGCATCACACCACATGTTAAACCCAACAGTCACAATAGTGCTGGCAATAAAGGTGACAAAAACCACGAAGGCGCTAATCAGAAGATTCAGGAAAGCATAAAAGAAAGAGCTGCAGTGAAAATTGGAGATTGGGGAGAAGAAAAAGGAAAACATATTTCATCAGTAACACAAACAATAACTCTGAACCACATGCAATGCTGGAGTCAAATCAAAGGAAAGGAATCTAATCTACACCTAGGTCCACATTTCCCAACAAGACTACTTCCTTCTGATTCTCCAAACCTTCTCTGGTTTGAGTCATTTTTTCTAACTTGGCAATGCTCAGAATAATACAAGATTATCTCCCTCCTCAGGAGGGAGTACAACAAACAAAAACAACATTGAGTTTTAAACATTCTTTTGAATTCACACCTGAGAAGGCATTTTTCCTTATCTCAATCAATTCTTCAAATTTTGATTTTCCCAGATCAGAGTCAAGTTTTCCTTTCAGTCCTTCCTGCCTGAGTCTTTGGAGGATGGGATTTCTTCCCTATCTCTACCATAATGAAGACAATCTATTTAACATTGATCTATGTAAACACCAGCATGCACTGACTCTATAACCTCACTTGATCATTCCTATTTCTGGTTGCAGTAGGTAGAAGGTGACATTTTTAATTATTCTCTCGTGGAGAAGAGTTAATAATTACACATACATATATGAAAGGTTCTATCCAGATAGTTCTAATCATTTGGCAAGCCATAAGGAACAATTTAAATGACCAGCAGAAAGAAAAACTAAAAAAAAAGTATGAACAAAAGTATTGGCACTCAAAAGTAACTATAAATATTATCTTGCAAACATTACTGCCTGGATGCAATAACCAAAAATGTGATGTTTCTCATCACCTGCATTACTTTGAATAAATCAATAGAGTCACAAAACTTCTGAAATTGATTTTAAAACCTGAATATGTTCATATGATGACGACTGGTTTTTTAATAGAAGTGCTGGTGCTAAACTGTTTAAATGAAATGCCATACATAGTCCCCTGAATGTAATGTGGACCTCATAGTATATACTAAACATGTCTCTCCAAAAAATACGTATCTATAGAGGTTATGGAGCTCTCTGAAAAGTAGTTTTCTTATTGGAGAGGGGAATCCTAAATCCTTAAGGGAAACATCTATGGACTTAAAATTCCTTCTTGGGATATGCAGAGTTCCCCCCTCTGATTCTGAAAAGAAAAGCAAGTCTGTTTAACTGTTGATAGGACTGAAAGTTCTCACAAGTAGACCTTTCTGGTTGTCTGCAGCCAATCTCAAATGATGTTCTGATGTTAATTTTCAAAGATTTTGGAAACGATATTCATTGCTGTTTCTATAATCTATGTGATACATTATAAGGAGGAGGCCTGAATATTATTTCCAGGTTGCACCAGGGGTTCAGATTTGATTTGTGAATGGTGTCTTGAAATCTAAAGGGGTTTTTATGAAAGTTCTTGTACTCAGCTATGTACATTACAGTAGACCATTTTAAATGCAGGATTGTCTATAACAATTGAAAAAAAAGTAATCTTAGGTGCAGGATTTTGCTGTTTTAGATTGAATAAACACACACAAACTGTGCATCACAGGGATACATAGAAAAATGAGCTGCTTTAATGAGTTGGAGATATTTTGGAACTGATATGAATCATTGCAGCATCCTGAATATTACTGATCCTCAGATGCAGCAGATCCTAGGATAATTCTATATTCTGATAATTTTATTTTATGTTTATGAAATCTGCTAAACCAAAAACTTCCTCCCCCCTTTCTTTGATCAAATCATAAAGAAGCAGTCTTAAATAACTTCATAGTATAATATCAGCAAATGGTATAGAAACACATTTCCAGAAAGATCAAAAAAAAGTATTTGTTATACAAATTGGCTTGGGTTGCTTAGCGGAACATGTCTGTTTAGCCCACACTAAAATAGTACATATTGTCTGTTTTAGCTTCTGCTCATCATTCTGCCTTGGGTTAATCTGGATGCTAATTTTAAGAAAATAAAACTATCTCCAAGTCACATCTCCTCTTTAAAAATATTCATTTCTTTCATATTCTCCACAAAGTTTGATAAATTCCATAATGCAACTTAACACAATCTTTATATCTGATGAAACTTTCATGTCTGAGATGTGAAATTTTCTTCTATTTTCCAAATGTTATAGCTTGATACTTCATTTTAGGGTATACATAAAAATGCTTTCTACTTGGAATGGAAAAGAAATGTAAAGACAAGACTCACAGGTGATTTCAAACTGGCAAAGTAACAGGTCTGAAATTCTGGTTCAAAAGAAGTATATGAAACACATATATACATCCTCAGAACTAGAAGAGCCATACCGTTATGGAACATTCACATCTTTAGAGTTTAGAGCTGAAACATCTCATTGGTCGTAAGAAAAAAGCTAGACCAAATGGAAGGAAAATTTTGCACTGATGTAGGTCTTCAATAGCTGTCACATAAAATTACAATAATGAACTATGCACAAAGAACATTGAAGAAGCTGCCTGGAATCACGCCTACTTTTCCATTGAATAGACAATGCCAACATAAATTTTCTAAATGGTCTGATTGACTTTTATAATAATAGAGTAACACAGGATATGTTGGGAATAATTCAGTACAACGTAAACTTTTAGGAAAATATTTGCAAGTATTAACGAAAATCTTGTATCTACAGATCTATTGTACTACAATTTCCAGCATCTCATTCATCTAATACAGGCATGCAAACTCACAACCCGCAGACCAGATGCATCACGCGCTGGCCACACCCACACCCAGTTTAGCGAGGGAGAAAAAGTCACGATACGTCATGACAATGCCGTGATGAAACAAGTTTGACAGCCCTGATCTAATACATCCATAGGGCACCCAACTGGGGAATGAAAGGTCTAACTAGAATTAATCACTTATCTTTAGTCCTGCAAATGTTTTTGATTTGTTTAGCTTCTAGGTATGTATGTATTCTATTATTGGTTTTACAGGTAATCTTCACTGAACAATCAGCAACTCTTTGAAGTTAAGGTGGTGCTGAACAAGGCAAATGTATGACTCTTCCTCATAGCTGTGCTATCTCAGCATCCCCACAAACACACAATTGTCATTCACAATTGTGGCTCACAGTCACAATGTCCTGTAGTCATTTGTGAACTTCACTGCCAGCATCTGACAAGCAAAGACAATGGGGAAGCCACCAAGAGGTTGAAAATGGCAATCGTATGACCAAGTAACACTGTAAACCACATGGGATTCACCTAACAATGGCAACTGGGACTGCCACCACTGCCATTGTAAGTTGGTGTGGTTACATGATGTCATGCTTGATGACTATGGTGCTTAGCAATACAAATCCCGGTCTCAATTAAGCAAAATCTGTATTTATACATTGATTTGGACACTTAAAATATATATTTAAATAGCTTTTGGATGTTTTATCCATCTGTTTGGATGACCTTGCCTGTTTTATTAAGTCATCATCTTGTGCAGCCATATTTCAAAGTAAATCCCATTAATCAAAGAACTTGGTCAAGTTATACAGTTGTACAATTAAGCAATGAATATTGCTACACTTTCTATCAGGATACTCTCCAGATTAGATTTACTCTAGCTGGCTGTGAAAATCTGGAAGGCCAGTAAATGACAACAGAGAGATACAAAAAAAATTATGCCAACAAGTAGTTGGCTGGATTTATGAAGTCCTAAAATGGTATGCCTACCCCAGTTGTCTGGATTCCACCTCTCACAGACACTACTCCAATGACAGGGTTGTTCAATATTATGGGAAGTAGTGTCCATTGCAGTAGGAGAGCTCCAGATTATAGAATCTTCCCATCCCAGATCAGTCATTATTTAACCATAGGGATCTTCAAACTTGACAGCTTTTAGACTTGTCGACTTCAACTCCCAGAATTCCTCCTCGTCATGTTAGCTCAGGAATTCTGGGAGTTGAAGTCCTCAGGTCTTAAACTTGCCAAGTTTGAAGACCCCTGGATTGCCCCCAAATTCGTTGTGAGAGAACAGAACGAAGAACTGTAAACAAGGGTGGCAAAACTCTGGATGAGTGTGTTGCAGGAACCAAGCCGGCCAGAGGAACAACGGAAATCCCCCTCCCCGGGGAAATCAACGTTTGAAAAATCCTATTTGGTCCCCTGGAGCCCCAGGCATTGCATTTGCAGGGCCCCAAGTGCAGATCTTCCCCCCTTTCTTCCTCAGTCCCCTTGGTCGCCTCCCCCGACCTCTCAATAAGCATCACCCCCTTCGCTTCGGTTCCCGGCCCAGGTGGAGACAAGACCAACACTTACTCCTCGTGGCCTTTGCAAAGGAAAAAGAGGGTCCTCCAGGCCTGCACTGCGGCGAGAAGGAGGGAGAGGAGGCCGGCGAAGAGGCTGAAGCGACAGGCGGATTCAGGTCCCCACTCCTGCACGGTGAAGCGCTGCCGCTCGGCCGTCAGGTTGGCGTTGAGCCACATGCCCTCGGTGAAGAGCAGGCAACGGCCGTGGAAGTCGTTGCTGTTCTCCGATAGCGGCACCACCACGATGAAGCTAAAAAGGAAGGCGAGGAAGTAGCAGATGCACTGCGCGAAGAGGAAATTGCTCAGCGCCATGATCGCCCGCCTGCCGCAGACCGAACCCGCCGGCAGCCCAGAAACAAGGAGCGAGCCCGAGGATGCGCAATGAGAAGTGCGCCTACGCCTTTTCTCGCAACTGCCCTCCCAACCCCCGCGCCTCCGCGGGGAGGGGAGGGGAGCGGCACCTGCCAAATCTGCTTATAGTGAGGTTTCTCCCGAGTGTCATTCTCACTGACAGGCATTTTAACTCTTGCCTAAATAGGGCTGGGACTAACCTCGGGCCTTCGAGATGAGTTGCCTGGCCTTGAATTAATAACAATTCAAAAAAAAAAAGTCAGTTTTACCTCAGAAATATTATTTCACAATGCAGTTTCAAAAAAAAAATTCAAGTAATCAATTATCTGAGCCTGCAAAAAATATGCACGTCATGCAACGTCCTCCCCAATGTTTTAAAAGTATCAAGGTACTGAAATCCAAATGGTAAATAACAATGGATGTATATATAAGCTCAACTGAATTCCATGATTCTTTTATTTAATACAGAGACTAACTCATTCACTTGTACATATATTTTGTCCATGGACCACAAGATGCATGAGTTAGCTGTGATTAAATACCATGCTATTGTATCTGTACAGTACAGATTGTGATCCATGAAACCAGCAGGAGCTAATGTCATATCTAGAAAACGTAAGTGGGGTCAGCCCTGTTTAGTGATGGATGGATGAATTCTCCTTGAAAATCCTGATGTGTAGAATTGACCAGGAAAATAATGTTAAGGTGACCTCTCAGAACACAGCCATGGCAAATGATGTCAGCATTATGTCAAGAAAACTGTGGGAATGTAAGTTACCAAACTTTTATTTTCTTTAATATGCCACAGAATACTTTATCCTGCTGAAAGAAACGTATACAACTGTCTCTCTAACTCCTAAGTAGTTGTGTTTAAAGTTGAAACATTAATAATTGGGTGGGGAACCTTCAGTTATATAGAAACTATGGGCACTACAATCTACTACATTTTTCAGTAGTAGTTCTTTTCTCAGGTCCTTTATTTATTTACACAAGAGGATAATACCTTATGATACCTATGCTTTCAGATTAAAAGAGATTTCTCTACTTTTGAGTTACACCACAAACTTTTATATGATATAAATTATACAAGAACCCCAGTTGACATATTGGCAGTGTCTCTCTCCCTCCCTCCCCCCCCCTCTGTGTGTGTGTGTGTGTGCGCGTGTGCGTGCGTGCGTGTGGTGTATCATTTGTGAGATATCATTTGTCCAACTTGGACCAGTGATTGGCCCAACAACATTGGTCCAATTGCTTCAAAGTGTTTTCTATAATTGATCAGCAATCAGATTATTGTGGAATGCATTGATTTTTCCTAAGGGACCATCTCTCACCATATGTTTCTACCATTTCTACTCTCCTTTTATAAAGCAGTAAAGATTTGATAGTGTTCTCAGGCCCAGGGCATTGAGGGTGTGAGAGGCCCTATTTCTTGGGTGTTTTGGCATCTACTGATTTTATATCTTCCTCAACTGCTATGTACTTTAATTTTTCTATTGTTGCTCTATTGTTTTAAGTTCATTTTAATTTTGTTTGCCACCTAGAGTCATCTATTAAGATGGGTAGCCATATAAATTGATTAAATAAGTAAATTTCCCTCCTACATAAAAAGTTGTAGGCAAATATACTGGAATACTAAATGAACTTATGATATGACCTTTTTATGCACAATGCATATAAGTTTTGAGAGAAATGTGTGTAAATGGAAATATTTGCATGTGTGTACACACACACATACTTTATCTTTGATGCACAATACAATGAGCTGTGGTGGTGTTGTAGTTAGCTAGCAGTTTGGCAGTTGAAATCTCACCAACTCAGGGTTGATACTCAGCTTTACATCCATACATGTTAACTTATTTCATTCAAGATTCAGCATGTTGTATTTTGTGTTTATTCCAGCAAAGAGAGGAACAAAAAAATAGATTCATGCCACGAACTAATGGTTCCAGTGCTTTTTAAAAGCAATTGGATTCTCTTGGCAATACGACTCTATTTTATCCATGATCAAAAATGTAAGTAGCATTAATCAGCACCAAAAAGAGTTCCCCCATTCTGAGTGCAACCAGTGCCTTGCTTATGTGGATGCCACTGTCCATGGTTCTGACCTATGGTACTGTTGAAATTAAAACTGATTCTGGCCATTTACCCCATGAAGTATGGAGACTTAGTTCAAGCAAAATTTAATAGTCTGAACTGGAAAAAATGTTGACATTAATAGCCATGAATAAAAATTATATTAAAATTAAGATATATGTATTTCTAGTCATTTTTTTCAAATGTTTTAGGGCTATGCGGGTTAAATTAAGTGTATGTGTTTTTAATATATATATGCTTGATCCTAAAAAAACACATATGCTTAATATTCATGTGGCCCCATCATCTTTTTAGAGTGCAGTCTCCAGTATGCTTTTTATAATCAAATTCATGGTCTGAGAAGGTTAAGAAACTTTTCAGAAAAATGCCCTAAGAAGTAAAGTGACTAAATATGTCCATTGAGAACTGAGCTCAAAGGGCAAATATTATTCAATGACTATTGGGGGGGGTGGGGGGAAATGACAATGGTGAGATAGTTTCTTGAAAATGGCTATCTAGAAATCTTTGTTAGTTTCCACAACTGTAAATGGCTGATCTCTAGAATACCACATCATGTATAAATAGAAGACAAATTTTCATATTTGTTTGTAATACCTTTTTTGTCAGCACTATTGCAGTCTATAATCTTGTAACGCTCCAAATAAAAATAATTTCCTCTACCCCACCATTCTCAGTGGAGCACTCTTCCCTTCCTCCTCCCCGCCCCACAGAAACCCTCAAATCTTTCTTATCTTAGGCTACTTCAAAAATATGCTAGATAACTAATCAACCACATTTTTGGCATTTAAAAAATATCAATTCCAAATTGATAGTGGTATTCTACACTTCAGTGATAGGTACTATTATTTCCAATGCTGAAACAAAGAATATACTGCGGATTTAGATACACTGTACAGATTATGGCTATAATGGTAATAGCGAGCAGTGTACATTTGCATACTGATGATCCCTCCAAATGTACCATTTGGAGACAGTGGTAGTCTGAAGCTGCATCTAGGTTGGACAGAAAAAGCACAGTTAGTTTGTGCTAATTTTGTAAGAGGGGATAAATGTAGCAACATTTGCCAACTGGTAATCAGCATGATGGCTGTCTCCCATATGAATGCCCAATCCACATTGTAGAAAAATTATCATTACAGCAGCAATGGAAGAAATGTCTTCAGAGTAATTTCATATTTCATTGTGTAACATACAATGATTTCTCCATCCAGACTAACTCACTGGACTTTGTATCCAAGGATAGATAAAATACCTAAGACTGAATACGGCTATTTTTATTTGGGGGATAGTGGGGTTGTTGGGGGGGGGGTTGTTGGGTGGAGAGTGAGAATTACAGAGCTAATAGACAGATAAGGTCCTTTTGAAAGATTAAAAAATGCAGCTTCAATTCTTGCCTTACTAAAACCAAAACTCACATTCTGAACTATGTTTTCATTGTAGGTATAATCTATTATCCTGGAAGTTGTGCAATATTCTATTTCCACTGCTGAGAAATTGATTAATTTCTAGTAGAGCCCTAGCCCATTTTTCAAAGGATGGAACAAATTGCAAATGATGATGCCCTGGGGCAAAGTGATTTTGCTGATAATTCAAGGTCTTAAGTGTGAGGACAAGAGCGGGTAGCAGTAGCCTTTTCATTAGATTCCCAGATATTTCATTTTACTTGTGTTGGGAAGATTGGGAAAGAGAAAAATCTAAACTGCTGAATGGCATTCTCAAGTTCTTTTCTATGAAATGTAAACCTTTATGATTCCTAGCTATTTTCTACAATTAAAATGGGAATCAATGAAGATGTGAAGCTCAGTTTATTCCTTACTGGAGGAAAAGTAGGAAAAAATTGCTTCGGTTTGTATCAGTGATCTTTTTTCTATTGCAAGATGTGGAAGATGAAATGTTACTCACAGACTGTAAATTCTCTTAAGACAATTCCATTTTCTCTCAAAATACCAAATTCCACACCATCTACTTCTTAGAACTGATACATTCATTCACTTTTGAGACTAAAGTCAAACCAAAGATTTAAGATAGAAACTTCAGAATTGACTTGAGATGGTGCCCCATTTAGAAAAGAAGGACGAAATGATAGTCTGTTCATATGAATCATGCAAGAGGTTCTCAAAACAAAGTGTAGGATTGTGCAATCCTAGCATTGTGCAATCCTACACAATGCAAACCTACACAATTCAATCAATAGCAAAGACATCAACATAAAGTGGGAACCTGGCCAAAGAAGTCCATATGAACTTGATGAAATTAAACCAGTGAAGATAGCTGGAAAAATTCTATAACAATGGAATCACAACCAAGAAGGATATCACTTGTTGGTTTGTTTGTTTATAAATTTATTTGCACCCATTCTGTATCCAATGACTCGGGGGGGGGGGGGGGCTTCACTAGGGTAACCACTTGTAGAATATTGCTCAACAGCACTACCATAAAAATTGTTTCCAAAAAAACCAGCTACATAGTGGGAGAAAGCCATATTTGTCATCTTAAAAAGCAGAATGCTGATATTGTTAACAGTAATTGTTCAGTGTTAGCAGTAATCCTCTTCTAGAAACTGTCTTTAAACATGGAGAATTGTGACCAAGACTGGTACCTAAGGAAACTCATCCCTTCAAATTAGACAAATGCCATTTTAAAAATATCTCAATGAAAAGCCATAATCTGGAGATTAGGAGCCTAGGAGTCTCCAGAACTTTAAGTAAGTTCAATCAACATGGTCCATATTGAGAGACAGTGGGAATTGTATTTCAGCTATATCTGCAAGTTCCCCAAACTTGCTATAACATATTTTAGATTGGGCCTGGCCCAAAGCTTCTAGACTGAATTCAAGGCTCTCTAATCTTAATCCAACACTTGTATCT